GCGGCAGAGGCTCAAGGACGACGCGCTGGAGGCCTCGGCGGAGGAGCAGGCGGAGCTGCGGCACTGGGGGCGCTGGATCTTCCTGTGAGTCACCCTGCTGTCCCTGTGGTCGTGGTCCCCTCCCGCCAGGTGAGGGAGGGGCTCACCCTGGGGTAATGGGATGCCGGGCACCCGGCCTCTGGCGGTGGACAGGCGAGATGGACAGCTGTTTCTAAGTCACATGACTCACAGCCCAGGGAGGAGGACACTGCGTGACGCCCAGGGCCACTCATTCGCGTGGGGGTTGCACGGAACAAGCGGGGCTGCGGGAGGCAGGCCTGGTAGTAACGAGAGGGTGAGGTGCCCCGTTCCCACGGGAGGTATGATTGCTGAGTTTGAATAAGTTTGTGGGCAGCTGGGAATTGAACCCAGGACGGATGGCTCTGCAGGGACCTCGCCTGCTCCCCTGGGTGAGAACTGATGTTTGATGAGGGACAGGGGCTCCTGTCCCTGTAACCTGTAACCTGTGGTCCTACCGATCAATATGCCTTCAAGCTGCTTTTTCTTTCAACAAACCGACAACCGTCAACCTAAAAAACCCCATTTAGCAAAGAAACAAAACCAAGACCCTTCCCCTGCTCTTTTCTTGGTGTGGAGTAGGGGTGGGGGCGTCCGGCCCACGGGCTGTATAAAGAAGGCCCTCGGAGTCATGTGGTCTGGCCCTGCCAAGGCATTGGGGTGCGTTCATTAACTGTTTGACCAAATACAGCAGGCTGAGTTTTAAGTTGATATTGTGTATGGTCTGCAAATGGGCAAATACCCTCAAGTGAGAATTAACACACAACAAAGAAATGAACACACATCACTGGTGTGGTTCAGTGGATAGAGCGTCCGCCTGTGGACTGAAGGGTCCCGGGTTCCATTCTGGTCAAGGGCACATGCCTGAGTTGCAGGCTTGATCCCCAGTGTGGGGTATCCAGGAGGCAGCCGATCCAGGATTCTCTCTCATCGTTGTTTCTATCTCTCTCACCCTCTCCCTTCTGCTCCGAAATCAACAAAAGTATATTAAAAAAGAAAACACCAAAAAAGGCACCAGAAATGGCTCCTTGCACAGCTCTGGGGCTGGAGGTCTAAAGGGCGGCGTCGGCAGGGCCATGGTCCCACCAGGCTCCTGGAGGGTCGCTTCCTGCCTCTTCTGTGTGGCTGCATCCTTAGCGTTTGGTGGCTGCAGACACATCGCTCCGATCCTGCCTCTGTCGCCACATGGCTGTCTTCCTGTGCATCTGTCTGTCTGTCTGCTCTTCTTACAGGGACACCAGTCCTATTGGACTAAGGGCCCACCCTCCTCTCTGACTGCTCCACTGCATCGGTGAGATCCTATTGCCAAGTAAGGTCAGACTCCCTGGTAATAGGAGTTAGGACTCAAACACACACCTTGTAGGGGCCACAGAAGTCAACCCATCACAGTCGGCCACTCAGCGTGGTTTCCATGCGGAACAGCTTCCTCTACGTCAGCGGTTCTCAACCTGTGGGTCGCGACCCCTTTGGGGGTTGAACGACCCTTTCACAGGGGTTGACTAAGACCATCAGAAAACACATATATAATTACATATTGTTTTTGTGATTAATCACTATGCTTTAATTATGTTCAATTTGTAACAATGAAATTGGGGGTCACCACAACATGAGGAACTGTATTAAAGGGTTGCAGCATGAGGAAGGTTGAGAACCACTGCTCTACGTGACCATCAGCCTTTAGAACCCAGGTGGGGGACCCCCGTCCCTGGCCCACCGGAGCGGAGGTGGGCTCCTCGTCCTGTTTGCAGGGAACTGCGGGCCAGCGTCAGTGGGCAGCCTCTGCTCCCATGTCCGTTATCCGCCAGGTCATGAACGCCGGGAGCCGGTTGCCCTTCCACAGGCAGCCTCACGGCCTCGCACACTGGACGCTGAGTTCCCGGCCCCGGTGTGATGGCACGTCCCTCAGATAGGCGTGCGATGCTCAGGGAATCCTTGCAGAGTGCAGACGTGAGGAAGGACATGATGTCATTTTGCAGACGTGAATTTCACTAATGACTCTTGCCCTTTGAATCTTCAGCTCCCTCATCCCCAGCACAACCCCGCTATCTTCTATGGATGAGAACACACTTCTGTTCTTTTTTAAAGTAAAAAGTATAACTATTTATTTTTTTAAATTTATTTGTCAATTCCACTTGATGTACGATATCATAGTCGTTTCAGGTGTCCCACATGGTGATTAGCTATTCACATCCCTTATGAAATGGCCACCCCGAGAGGGCTAGTCCCCACCTGGCACCAAACATAGTTATTACAGTACTAGAGGCCGGGTGCACGAAATTCGTGCACTGGGGTGCGGGAGGCGGGGGAGGCTCAGCCCGGCCTGTGCCCTCTCGCAGCCCAGAAGCCCTCAGAGGATGTTCGACTGCCACAGAGGCAGGAGAGGCTCCCACCACCACCGCTGTGCTCGCCAGCCATGAGCCCGGCTTCTGGCTGAGCAGCACTCCCCCTGTGGGAGTGCACAGACCACCAGGGGGCAGCTCCTGTGTTGAGTGTCTGCCCCCTGGTGGTCAGTGTGCATCATAGCGACCGGTCATTCCGGCGTTCGGTCAATTTGCATATTAGCCTTTTATTATATAGGACTATTGCCCGTGTTCCCCAAGTTGTACTTTGCATCCCTGTGACTGTTTTTATAACTGGTCATTTGCACTTCTTAACTCCCTTACCTCTTTTCACCCTCCCCCACCCCATCCAGTCTGGCAACCATCAGTTTGTTCTCTGTGTCTGTGAGTTTGTTTCTGTTTTGTTTGTTTGTTTTATTAGATCCCACATATAGGTGGAATCGTATAGTATTTGTTCTGCTCTGTCTGACTTATTTCATGGAACATAGCACCCTGTGGGTGGCAGGAGTTCACGGGGCCGTTGCTGACAAGGCCAGGGTGGGAAGCATCGGGGTCCCACGATGACGAGTGGGTAGAGATGCGCGGTCCGTGTGTGAGGGGATGTCACCAGCCACACCCTGTCCCTGCCCCCCAGGAGGCTCTGCGGCTCCCCCTTCTCCCTGTCCGAGGAGGAGCTGCTCCGGATGCGGCAGGACGTGCACAGCTGCTTCGCTCAGATGGACAGGAGCCTGGCCCTGCCCCGAATCCGGGCCCGCGTCCTGCTGCAGCGGCTGCACACGGCCTGGCGGGAGGCAGAGTTCCTGAAGCTGGACCAGGCCCTGGCTGCCCCAGAGCTGCAGGTAGGATGGACATCTTGGTGGATTGGTGTTTTTTTTTAATCTTCACTGGGGGAAATGTTCATTGATTTTTTTTTTAGAGAGAGGGGGCACGAAAAGCATCGATCGGTTGCCTCCTGTACACCCCCTGGCCGGGGATCAAACCTGTAACGTAGGCACATGCACTGACCAGGAATCGAACCCGCCTTTTTGGTGCATGAGACGATGCTCCACCCACCTGAGCCAGCTGGCCAGTGGCCTCTTGATGGCAGAGGTGGGGCATCTCCTGCTGATGCTGCGGGGCCCGGCCCCAGCGCCCACCCTGGCCTCATCGAACCTCACTGGCCCCCATCCTCCTCTCCAGCCGTGTTGGCATCGGCTGTTCCTGGAACCGCCAAGCTGGTCCTGACCTCAAGGCCTATAGTGGACACACTGGTGCCCAGCCCAGATCCCCTTGCCCGGCTCCTTGCACCGTCCACCAGCGGCCATGACCCTAGAACCTAGAAAGTGCCTGTCGCCTGGCAGGTGTGCAGTACATTTTGTTTATTAATAAATGAGTTCCTGAGGACCTCGCCGTCTTTAAGTCAGATTCTCTCCCCACCACCCCCTTCCCCCTTTCTTCAAGCCTTCCCGTGGCTCTCTGCTGGGATGTAAGCTCTGCCACGATTTCAGGCACATGCTGGTGAACCGGCTCTCAGCGGAGGTTCGGGGACATGCGGGGGAGGGCAGTCCCCATTTGTAGCATTTGCCCATTTCCCTGGTGTAAATACTTCTAAGGCCAATTTCAATCTGTCGGCTTGACATCACTGTGCGTGGGGCTGGGGAGATGCACAGGATCGCCACTCCCCTCACTCCCCCACCCCCACGCCCCTTCCCCTGCCCCTTCCCCTGTCCCTCCTAGCCTTATCCCCTCCCAGCCCCAATCCAGGCTCTGAGCTCCAAGGTCTAGCCTACCAGCCTGGCTCTGTTCCTAAGAGGCCTTGACACACAATTACTTATTTTTTTGTATTTTCCCCATTAGATCAGGAAATGAAAACTATAGTTAACTCGTGGAATTAGCTGAGCCCAGCCTGAGTATATAAAGAGTTCAGCTCAGGAGTCAGGAAACCTGAGACCTAGATCTCAGGGCCCCCACGATGTGGCTTGAGGCCACCGAGTCTGCTCTCCTGGCCTCAGTCTCCTCCTCTGTCAAATGGGGGTGCTTTGAACTCCGTGAGTTACCGGGTCTGTGCCTTCTTCCTCTGAGGGGATGGGGACGGGCCACCATCCAGTGGCCAGCCTGAGAGATTGTTCGGGAGCCCAGGGCCAAGTCTGGTGGGCAGGCCTGTGTCCGCGTCCTGAGAAGGAGATCATGGGACCTCCAGGGATGTGACAGGGAGGAGAAAGGGCAGGGGGGCGAGCTGGGAGGGGAAGGAGACCAGCGGTCACTGGGGAGTGCTGTACTGAGCCTCGCAGGTGTGCTGGGCTGTGCTGGGCTGGGCTGTGTTTTGCTATGTTCTCATGTCCAGTCCTTGCATTATGCTATGTTACATTCTGTTGCGTTATGTCGTGCTGTTACATTATATTGCGGTGCGTTATGGCGTGCTGTCTTGTGTTACTTTCCGTTTTTGTGTTGTTACGTAGTGTTGTTAGGTTCTTGCAGTCATCGGATGAGGCAGATACCCATTTCGCAGGTGTGCAAAGTGAGGCTCAGAGACGGTCGCATCTGCTACCCTCGATCATTAACCGAATCACAATTTGCTGAGCACCGTGACCTCACCTTGGGCCCCTCCAGCCCCCGAGCTTGTCCGGCCCTCAGGGCCTGGCTTTGGAAGGCGGGCTGAAGGCGGGCTGCATGCATGTGCCTGCGTGCTTTCTCTCCCCTCCAGCCACAGGCCAAGGCGAGGAAGCCTCGCGCCAAGAGTAAAAGCAAGACCGACCTTCTGAGGAAGTGCATTGAAGATAAAATCCAGCTCTTTGATGGCCCGGCCCCGGAGGACCTGCTGGAAAAGGTCAGTGCTCCCCCTCGCCTGCTGCCCGTGGCACTGGGCAGGGCCGGCGGCTGTCCGCAGGGCGCACGGAGCCCTCGGCTGCGACTGTGTCTCCACCAAACGCCGAGATTCTAAATCGTCGCAGGCGGACCCGCCCTTCCCGCACGCCTTTGCACCGGCTCCTTCTGTCTGGAACCTTCTTCCTCCGCTTGTGCGCCCGGAGGTCTCCGGGTCACCCTCAGGCCCCCCAGCTGCTGTCCCCGCTGCCCGAGGTTGCCGCCACCTTGGTGCCTGGCCCTGAGCCTGGCCGAGGTGTTCACACGGGGTGCTTCACTCTGTCTGCTCTTTACCCCACGCACCCTCCGGCGCTCCCACAGCAGCCTGGCCTCCGTCTCCCGCGCGTTTCCCATTGCTCCCCGATCAGGCTTCCTGTCCCTGCAGAAGGCACGCGCGACAGCATGGTGCTTACCGTCCACGTTCTTGCCTCTCCCTGGGTTCCCTTCCCACCTGCCTTTACCTGGACAGATGACTCATCCTCCGCTGTCCTCAGGCGTGGCCTCTGCCCTCGGGGGGCCCCTCTTTCAAGAAGGCTTATCGGAACACCCGGTCTTCCCCCCGTGTTCCCCCGCCCTCAGCTCCCTTTCTTGTCTGTGGTAACACGCGTTGTGCATGTCACTCATTCCTCTCGTGTCCGAGGAGGCAGCCGTGCCCCAGGCTCTGCTGATGAGCTCAGTCCTTGCTCTCACAGCGCACACGTTCTAGCTGGGGAGGAGGGCAAGAAGCCCTTAAAGCAGTGGTTCTCAACCTTCTGGCCCTTCAAATACAGTTCCTCGTGTTGTGACCCAACCATAAAATTATTTTCGTTGCTACTTCATCACTGTAATGTTGCTACTGTGATGAATCGTCATGTAAATATCTGATACGCAGGATGGTCTTAGGCGACCCCTGTGAAAGGGTAGTTCGACCGCCAAAGAGGTCACGACCCACAGGTTGAGAACTGCTGCCTTAAAGTGACAGACCACCATCAGTGCCCGCACGGACAGGGGCGTTTTGGGGCGTGCCCTCTGGGCCACGGTGGACCTACGTGCTGTTCTAGATCCACGCCCTTGGTGTGTTCACGGTTTCAGAGAGCGGCCACTGTGCGCCTCGGCGTCTTGGAGTTCACATCCGCCGTCAGACGTCCCATCCGCCTGGCCGACCTGAGGCCTTCCCTGAACGAATGGTTGTGTGATTGATTTGGGGAGGAAGGACAGACAGGCAGACGGACAGATAGACCAGCGTGCGCTTCCTGCCTTTTCGGAGTTGATGGAGGAAGGTATCAGCTTGAATGGCATTGTCCTGAGAGGCAGCGCAGACACAGCACAGGTTAGGTGGCTCATGTTAGCTTTCCAGCTACTAGAAATGTTCTGTCCGTCTGCCGAAATCTGTCTGCGTGACAGACCGCCATCAGTGCCTGCACGGACAGGGGCGTTTTGGGGCGTGCTCTCTGGGCCACGGTGGACCTACGTGCTGTCCTAGATCCACGCCCTTGGCGTGTTCACGGTTTCAGAGAGCGGCCGCTGTGCACCTCGGCATCTTGGAGTTCACATCCGCCGTCAGACGTCCCATCCGCCTGGCCGACCTGAGCCCTTCCCTGGACAAATGGTTGTGTGATTGATTTGGGGGGGAAGGACAGACAGGCAGACGGACGGATAGACCAGCGTGCGCTTCCTGCCTTTTTGGAGTTGATGGAGGAAGGTATCAGCTTGAATGGCGTTGTCCTGAGAGGCAGCGCAGACACAACACAGGTTAGGTGGCTCATGTTAGCTTTCCAGCTACTAGAAATGTTCTGTCCGTCTGCCGAAATCTGTCTGCGTGCCCATCCGCCCATCCGTCTGCTTTTTACGCAGACTGAAATGTGAGGATTCCACTCGGTGTAGGGTTTCCTCCTGCGTCTCTCTCAGCATCGCACTGCACAGCACGTGTGGCCCTCACAGGGTTGAGGCAGCCCTCCGTCAGGGAGCCCTGAGGCTTTCCGGTGCCTTCCTATTTGCAGTGACCTGGGGAGTCTGCCCGTATCCCACAGCTTTCTGCAGCGAGGCTCGCAGAGCAGCTATTGCTGCGTCCACTTCACAGCTGGGAACACTGAGGCCCGGAGAGGCCTGGCCACGGCCACGCAGCTGGCGGGCGGAGGGGCCGACAGGCAGGTCCTGTGTTCAGGTAGCGGATCCGCTTGATGGACCCAGAAACGAAGGGGCGATTTCAGTGCGTCTGTGCGGTAGTCTCCTGCTGTTTGTGCACAAGGCATATCTTCATTTCTCATAAATATGCCTCAACAGCATTTAAATGTAAGTGAAAATGACATGCCCGCATTCCCCACTCACCCGCTCTTTCCGGATGATTTTAATGGCGTTGCCCTGCGCCTGGGTGGCCTGTCTGCCACACGTCCGAGCTCTCATTCATTATGCCGTCCCCGCGTGCCGGTCCCAGGATGAGCCAGGCCTGCACGGCTCATTAACGGTCCTTCATTCAGCGCCACAGCCGCTGCCAGCACCGCCGTCCTGCTGTGACGCCTCTGCTGCCCTGGCAGTCACATGGAGGGGCTGCCGCCCCTGCGTCATTTCAGAAGTGACTAGACTTGACGCATGAGGATAATGTGCCCGTTTCCGGACGACCTCACGAGAGGGAAAAGCGTGGACTAGCAGGCGTGGGGGAGGGAAGGTGCTCTAGGAAGAGGGGGGCTCATCCACCCATCCATCCCACGGGTCTCTCCCCGTCTCCTGCCCCCGCTTTCTCCCGAGGCAGCCTCTGTCCAGGTGGTCTCCGACGGACGCAGCGTTGTTGGGAGGGAGATCTCCTGGCTTCCCTCTGCCCCCAAACAAAATCCAGACCCCTGGGCACAGCGTTCAAGGCCTCGCCATCAGCCTCAGCCTCCCGTTCTAACCCCGAGTTCACGCCCACCTTCCAGGCACTGAACGGCACCACGGCTGTCTGCCTGGTTTCACTGCAGTAACTTTTTTTTACGTTGTCCACTAGAAAATTCTACTTTTCACGCTCTTGCGCTTGTGCACACATGCTTTTCAAGAGCCAAATAGCTCTATGGCAGCGGTTCTCAACCTGTGGGTCGCGACCCCTTTGGCGGTCGAACGACCCTTTCACAGGGGTCGCCTAAGACCATCCTGCATATCAGATATTTACATGACGATTCATCACAGTAGCAACATTACAGTTATGAAGTAGCAACGAAAATAATTTTATGGTTGGGTCACAACGTGAGGAACTGTATTTAAAGGGCCAGAAGGTTGAGAACCACTGCTCTGTAGGGTTTGTGCTTTCAAAAGCAGAGGCTCCTGCGGCCACAGACACACCCGTTTCTAAATCCCCAGAGGTAACGACTTTTCAGTTTTTGGCTTGACCTTTTCATGTTGGCCTCCATGTCTCTAAATGATCTACTTGTCTTGCTGTTTCTCCGTTTCTTGCCTTGGGCATAATCGATTTACCTTCTTTATGGGAGATAAGATTTCGCTACCTTTTTTCAACCTGCAAACACACGGGCCCCCTGTCCCCCAACTCCCAATGCAGTTAGATACGCAGTTAAGATGGCGGTTGTGATGATTATTTAAATGTCATTCACATCTGGGCCACGTAAAAACCAAGAGTCATTCCTCCCCTGTGCAGCTTTTTGTTTTTCTTGGAGTTGTTCTTATCCTTTGGTTTCTTCCTGGTCACTTTTCTGTACAGTTATCAGTCCTTCCATCCACTTCTTGACGGTTGACCAGATATCCTGCCGGGACCACACACAGGCCATGCATGCCCTCTGGGGCGCGTGGTCGGGAGGACGTCGCCTGTGCCTGCTGCGCCCCCACCCGCACGGTGCCCACGGAGCCTGTGCACAGCCCTCCGGCGTCACGCTGGGACTCCCTCACCCTCTTTCCCGACGTCTCGTACTCTGGGAGTGTCCTAGGGAAGGGCACACGGCGATTGGACAGTTGGCAGTTTTTAAGGCTGCCATGCTTTCATCTGCCCCTTACAGGGCAGAGTTTGGCCAATCTTGGAATTCTGGGAACTTTTCTTAAATCATTTTTTTCTTTTTTCACTCTGTTTCTGCCCTTTGTTCTGTTGCTTTGCTCTCTGAGGAGTGTCCCCAGGGCAGCTGGTGCAGAAGGCGTTGGAACCTCCCAGTAGGAATCAGGGTCTTTAGCAGCACGTGCTGGAAATGCAGTTTCATTGCTATAGGCAGCTGGGCTGTTTCAGGGAGCCCGTCTAGTGCCACATGGGAAGGCAGGTCTGCCCCTCTCCCCGGAGCTCTTTCCGACGGGATGAGCCCTCCAGCGCACCTTCTCCCAGCCCGGGATTCACTAAGTAAGCTTCCCCGGGAGAAGGGGAAGAAAGGGCTTTCAAGAACCTTTCTTCCCTTAATCTCATGGTCCACGTGTTCTTAAGCACATACGGAAGGCTTTAGTCCCCGCCCCCCCATTTTAGGTGTGAATCTGCATAAATAAACTTGAGAGGTAGCCCACATAGTCACTCCCGCTGCCCTGCATCTCCACGGGGACGAGGCCTCACAGGAGATGGGGGCTGCCATGCCCCCAGGGTGTGGGTGGAGGGAATGGGTTCACTCACCTAGAAGTTACTGAGCCCCTTGGCTGCCGGCTCCTCCAGGGGAGCTCGTGTCCTGGTGGGGTGAACGGTGTGGTGAGGGTTCCCCTGGGCAGAGAGCGTGGAATGTGGGGTCACAGAGAAGGGTGACAAACACGTGCAGAGTGAGCATGCTTCATGGGCGGAGGATGCGGGGACATGTCTGTCATCAGTAGAGGCAGAGCATGGAGTGTGAGGCCGTGAGCGGTCGGTGAGGGTGGAAGTCGCAGGTGTGGGTGCAGGTGGCAGAACAGACCCCACCCACCCAGGTGACCTTGGCTGGGGTCGCAGAGCCTGAACCGCATCCTCTACTGTAGGGAGCCTTGGAGGGTTTCTCGCCGGATGGCAGCGAGGTTGGGTTTGCCTTCAGGAGTG